TCACGTGTTTCTGTCGCTTTACTTGAATGGATATTAATAGGATTTCTTTGTTGCTTCAAAGCTGAGCAGTGTTATCTCAGGGGCTTGGTTTGGGAAAAGGTGGCCTGAGAATGACACCTAAGGAGGCTTTAGGTGAAATACTTCAGGTTTGTCTATGCCTTTCTTCTATCATTTTCTTGTTGGAATCTTTATTTCCCTCTCTCTCTATGCTTATTACTTTGTATAAGAAGTTGTGTCTGTTGAAGTGACCAACAATCTTCCTTTGTATAATGATTGCTTGTGTTATGCTAAGTGAGAAATAGATAATTACATAATTTAAAAGGAAAATCAACATTGTGTTATCGGCACGGTTGAAATTATTGTCTTACACCTAATGCCCTTATTTTTTCCTACTCACCAGGTACCGTTGGGTTGTGTCACTCCATTTGCACTACTGAATGAATCAGCAAGGTATGTTCATGTTCTTATTCTGTTTGGTTACTTATGAGATATCTAATCTTTTTTCTTTGGAATGTTGACTCACATATCCAGTCGATTATTGCTCACATCTCCAGTTGATTGCAATACTGTTCTTCAGAGCTATTTACTGAAGGTGTTTCCCTCTTTCACTATTAAGATAGTTTGCTTTGAAATCCATCTGTCACTATTTTCCTTGTAGCTTTCTCATTTTAGTCTTTAATCATGTTTTTCTATCTTCTTTTAGTTTTCTTATAAAGTTTCTTTGTTAATTTATGAAAATTTTACCAGTTCTGAATTTAGTTATTGATTCTTACCTGCTATCAAATTTAAAATGTCTTCTCTTGAGTTATGAACTAAATCTGTTGATTGTTAAATAATCTCACGATTTTAGACATACTCACTTTGTTAGTGCACTGGCTTGTCGAAGGGACTTCTATGTTGGAGATGTTTATGTTTTTGCTTCTTAGACTGTTTATAAACATTTTTCTGACTCACTGCACTAATATATTTCCAAGGAACTAATTTATTTTTGTTTTATGTCACATCATTTCCTATCCGAAGAGATGTTTCACTGCTATTGGATCAAGGATTCAAGACTCAGAAGCACTGCTTCTTCCATCCACTGTCGAATGACATGTCCATATGTAAGCAATTAGACTCCCTTGTTAAAAGGAAAAAAAATGCTTTCATATTTTTTCTTAATCTTTTAAAGTTGATGAATATTATAACAGATGCAACCATCTACATTAGGGATATATTTTGCTTGTATATGTCCAACACCATGGGTCCATCAATTGATGTCTGAAGTCCAAACAGGACTTCCTTTCATGCTTGCTTACTATTTGATAATTTAGGAAATTAAATGTTGATGGTATTTTGTATCCAAATGTTATCTTTTAGCTCATCTATGAAGAAGTATGACACAGGATTTTAGGTTCATGTGAGATCCATTATGCTTTGATGCACTGAAAAGCTCAGTAAAATAGTCATATTGTTTACAATCGCAGCTCTAAATTCATCTGATCTTGACAAATTTCTTAAATCAATAGGAAGAAATCCCTCATATGTTGATTTGGAGGTGAGTAAATTCAAGGCACCCTTTTTTTTAATAAAACAATTAATTAACCTATTATTTCCATTGATGGTCATATGTCTGCCTTGTCTCCTTGCAGGCCAATCCTACAGTGGGGAAGGATCAACCCCCTGATCTAGCTGGACTAGTTCCATCTAGTTCAATAGTTTTGACTGATCAACCCCAAAAGCAAACTTCCTCACAGCCTAAGGGTGCAAACCATGTTTCTGTGGATGATGGAACCAATACAGTTTCAGGTAAAAATTCTATGAACTGCAGTATTCGATGTGCACATTTATCTATTATTTGCATTGAATTTGAAACAACAGTTTTTTTTGTTTTGGTTGTCTTTATTTCTATGATTTGGATACTACTGAGAGCATTGTGCATCTATGCCTTGACTGGTGTTTTAATTGCTAAAGGTGCCTTGTATGATCACTAGATTACTTTTCCTTTGCACAATAGTTTTTATCTGCATTTTCCATGTATCTGAAATGCAAGGAGTCTTGGGTAGTATAAGTTATCCAACCTTGGCCTGAGAAAGCTGCCAGAGTTGATTATATACCACTTAACAGGATTGATAAGAATCAGTCAAAATCTAGATCTTAGCAAAAGATGGAAAATGAAAAAAGAAAATCGTACTATTTTACTGATTTAAGGCCGCTCATCTATTTTATCTTATAAATCCTTTGTACATTAGCTCAAGATTGTATAATCGTCCAAAATTGTTACATTACGCGTTTAGGAAATGTATAATTTATTCTATAAGCAAACAGTTTTTGATTTTTTTTTTTTGTCTCAGAATGACATGAAATGATTACACTTGAGTTGACATAGTCTTCTATTTTATTTTGTTTTCCTCTTTCTCATGGTTGTGGATTAATTTCTAATCATTTGTTTCATAATTTTTTTTCTGTTAATATTTTTTTCCTTATCCTTAAAAATGTTAATGCATTAAACTTGAATCTCGTACCATTTGATACTAGAAGTATAAGAGGACCTACTGTTGATCTGGTCTTTCTGACACAAATTTCAAATTTATCTAGTGTAGTCAAATATGCTTGCTTCTGTATACCTTTACTCTGGGTGAAGCTACTGTATGCAACCTGCAGTTGCATTTAACTTCTAGTCTACTACAATGTTTACCATCAAGTTGTTCAGGCTTATATTTTTCACATTTGACCTCACTTGGGCTCATAGAAGTTCAGCACATTTGTTAAACAATTTCTTAAGGGTAGCAGAAAAACCTTGTTTGTGGCTGAAATATCCTATAGTGATTAAATTAGTAAGTAAAAATCTTTCAGGTGCTGCCAAAGTTGTCAAGGCATCCTCTGGTGGGAAAAGTACAAAGGGGACACCGGTAAAAAGTGTTAATTCATCAGGCTCCTATGCAGATGTTGGGCAATTCGTTGAAGAGATATTGTAGAAAACATCACAATTATTGTTTTCAGAGGTAAAGTTGTATGTATACTTTCTTTCAATTTGGAACTTATGCTATACTTCCTGCATCGGGCTGAAGAATCTTGGTCGTGCAGGTCAAGGAAGAAAATATAAAGTTACACGGGGAGCAACTGGGTACCGTGGTATCTGAAAAATTACAAAAAAACCTCAGTTCAGAGTTTAAGAACCTTGCTGTAAGTATATATATGAAGATGCTAGTAAGCTTTTCCTCTTTTCAGGAAATTAAAGCCTCCATGTTACATTTTTATGTTTCCAATTTCAATTTTCTTTATAACATTTGCAGATGATCTTTAAGAACACAGCATATACAGAAGGGTTCCATGCTGGTACTCGCTGCCAGCCCCCGCGCATGTGAAGCATACGATGGTTTAAGATTTGCTGGAGGGAAAGTAAAAGAGACCAAAATTTTAACTCTAGTTGTTCAATGTTTAGTTTGTGGTAACAACATGCATTGTTTGAACACTCATTCTGGAAAATGTTTGGTATACAATATGAATAGATCATTTGAAACAATTTGATCAATGAAAAATGAAAAGGCACATTAAGTTCATCATTTGAAAACAAGGGTGCACTACTTTGAAGAGTGATTCTAAATTTGGCTATAAATTACAGGCCATTCATGTTTCTTTTTATGTTCCTCAACTATCAAGTATTTTAAAATAATTAACTTTTTACTGGTTATAATTTTACTGAAGTTATATTAATGAGAAAAAAAGCTTGCATTGAATGTATAAATTCAATCATAAATTATTATGCATGAAGAGTTTGTTGATTTTTATAACGATTTGAAAAGTTATATTAATAACTTTTACATTGATAGTGTATGATTATTAAATCTTATTGAATAATTTTGGTATAAAATGTAAAATGTTTTAAGCAGACATTACTTTTTATGTACAGAAAGGTAGTATATTTCAACTTATGGTGTGTTTGGATGAGAAATTTATATAGGGTAATTCATTTATTTGAAGAATTTCAAATTTCTTGAGGTGAAATGTTTTGTTTAGATGAGGAATTTACAAAGAATTTGAAATCTAAGCATTTGTGAAATTTCTTAAAATAGTAGAATTTCAAATTCTCTAAAAAATGAGAGAATTTGAAATTCCTCATATTTGTTTTTCTTATTTCACATATATATTTTATCTTATCTCTTCATTCTTTTAATTATTAGATATTCAAAAATATTTTTAAAATTATTAAATATTATCTTATATTAATTTTTAAATTATTAAATATTATCTAATATTAATTTTTAAAATTATTAAATATTTAAAAATGAATTAATATTTATTTTTATAAAATTTAATTTAAAAATCTTAACATATAAATACATTTTTAAAATCAATTTTACTACGATGGAATCAAATTATCATATTCAACCTAATAATTTAAAATTTAAGAAATTTGAATTGACTTATCCAAACAAAATATTTTAAGAATGATAGAAATTGAAATCAAAGTAATTCAAATACCAAGAATTTAAAATTCCTTGAATTTATAAAATTCCTCATCCAAACACACTACTAGGTTATTGTAATAAATTACTAAGGACTTTACTGGTTGAGAGAATCGGCTTTTAATTTTACAATGATGAATTATAATATATTTTTTCACGACATAGCATTCCTATTCACATATAACAAGTGTATTTGTGTTATGATAATAGGTAAATATTGTCATTTTTAATAACAAATAATATTTACAGCACGCATTGGTCTAACATCGTAATCAACAAATCTGCCAATATGATGGTATCTTTTTGTGGCAACACTTATTCTCACCCTATTAGTATATTTGTATTTAACTATCTTGTATTTATATGTTAAATTGAACAAATAAATGCAACATCTATGAAATGAAAGAGAAGAGCCGTGCAGTATACAGATCTCGAACTTCGTAGTATATGTTGTTGAATTTGGTTTTTAATAACTTGATGGAAGCTTGAAAGCTTATTTACTTAATTTTTGAATCGCAAGCCCGGGTTCCCCCTGCAAACCCCCCCCCAGCCATTGAAGCTGGCTTTTGATTAGAACTGTGTAATTTATATATTTATGGCTTAATTAATAGTTTAATCTCCATAATATACATCTGTTTTGTTTTTAATTTCTATAAAAATCAGTAGTTTTTATTCCTGTTATTATTATTATTATTTTTTACTTCTAATCCCTGTAGTTCGTATAAAGTCGTAAACTTCTGAAATCAGGCTTCCTGTATTGAAAATTTTTCCTTTTTAATGTTCATTTTTCAATATTTGTTAATCACGCCATCACCAATCTGCAATAAAATTGTAAAAAAGGAATTAAAAGGAACTAAAACCCACGAGATTTATGCTTGAATTAACTTACCGGTGAGCATGACGGCTTTACAAACAAGTCAGAATTCCAACCAGCTCTTGAACGTGAGTCATCGCCGCAGAGCTTAAAGAATACAGCAAGAGTTGTGTCTCCAGTTAGATGCTGAAAATTAGTGCAAAGATTAATTTCAGTACATGGAGCCAATATTTAATCGACATCCTAACATCTGTTACTCATCAATATGATTCAACTTGTGCCATTTTCATTTTCCTTTCTCCTTAGGTTTCAAAATTCGTTTGGAGAGTCCTAAAAGACTCAATAGTGCAATTAAAATAAATTGCGAGTCAAATCACGTAATCGGTCGCAAATTCACGTGCATGAATTTTTAGAAAATATTTTACAAGCATTGGTTCGTACAAAAATTGCTCTTCAATCAATTAACTACTGATATAATAAAGTTTGAGTTTTTAACCATGTTAAGGGATTGGGATTACAAATTCAGTAGATAACAGATGGTAGACAATGAAGGATTTACTATAATAACCACCGATAACAGTAGTAAAACAATCTAGAAATGTGATGAATAATGAGCAGTGAATTAAATTAATTTAAGATTCACCCCTGGAAGAAGAAGCAGCAGCAACATTATTATCTGGTTGAGGATAAACCCGTCGAAACCTCGAATGGAAAGGCCAAAGCGAAGCCAAACGGGTCCACCTCAAGCACCGCCGCAACCTACCTTCTCGGCGATCATCGGCGACGCAGTCATCGTCCTCGGAGGAAGAAGACGGCACAGGCACCTCGTGGCGGCACACAGGGCAAGAGTTGTGAAGCCTGAGCCAGGGAACAATGCAATCGGAGTGATAAATGTGCTTGCACGCAAGTTCCCTCGCTTCGCCACCCACTTCGAATTCCTCCTGACAAACCGGACACCGAGAATTCTCCTTCAGATGCGCGCTCTCGATCTTCACCGCCGGAATGGCGTCGATCGCTCTCTCCGGCGCCGGCGGAGGGCCCTGCCGGTCGTTCTCGGTTAACTGGTCGATCAGTTCGTTGAGTCCGGGCCCGAGGAAGTAGTCGCGCGCGTCCACTCCGCGGGGGATTGGGCCTGGGCCGTGCGGGATGGGGATTGGGCCTGAGATGTTGTTAATGGGCTGGAAGGCGTTGGAGGGGTCGATGGGCTGGAAGACGATCCAGGTGCGGGGGCGGCGGTCGGGGTGGGGTTCGGGCTCGGGACGTCGGGTTCGGGTTCGGGTTCGGCGCCTGTGGACGGGGATTTCTTGTGGTTCGGGTTGCATTAGACCCGGGAAGCGGCGTATGGGTGGGTCCATCATGAGGGAAAGCGCTTCGAGCAAACGCGCTTCTGGGGAAGGGTCTGGGGTGGTGAAATCCACGACGAGTCTTGGCCTGGGCACGTTTATTTCGCATATGAATTGGCCGTGGCAGCGTGGGCATGCCACCTCGGTGGTGTTATCCGGTGCGACGCGGACCGTGCGGTTGCACTGGAAGCACCAGTAGAGCTGGAACGTTCTCGGTTGAGGTTGAGCATTGTTGTTTCTGTCTCTTGGAGGACTCAATGACATGGTTAATGGTTAATGGTTAACGGTTATGGAATTAATGAAGGTGGGGTTGGGAAACGCGCGTTTTATAGGAGGAGAGAAAAGGATGACTTCTGGGTTTGCATAAAGTGATTCTTTTTAGCTTCGCACTGTTCCTTGCATGGCTAGGAAAAGGATGAGTGGGGCAATTGAGAACGTTTCTTCTTAACTCACGTGTTTTCTTGGATTTTGGATTTCCACTTCCCAGGGAAGGACAAACTTCTGAACCAGTTATTTTGGTTCTTCTTAATTTATCAGACCATCCTTGTGCTTCTCGTAGGTCCAATAGTTGGTTTCTACGTACTTGGGTTTGCCTACCATGGCTCAATAGGCCTGGCTACTTCTATCAGCATGCTTGGATCCATGTTAAATTAAGCTTCGTCTTAACCCTAAACTCAAAGAGAGAAAGCCTAGTAGGCTTCGGCCCAAGGCCCGCTTTATATCTTTAATCTCATGCAAAACAATCACACAATGCTTTCTCTTACTAATAATAGTAATTATTATTATTATTATTAATCAAATCAAATAGATTTAAAAAGAATCTTTTTTATAAACGGATAATAAAGTTTGAATTTAAACTATGTATATTGTCCAAACTCTCATTATTAAGCTAATTTCAATGATTATCAAAAGATATCTAGTGATCATTTCTTTTTAAGGTTTAAGAAATTTTTTATAACAAAAAAATAGTTAATGTAAGGCACAATCCCATACAATTTAGAGATAATCACAAAGACCAATTTCTTCATATACACATAAAGATTATTAAAGTTTAATAAGTTGCTTTTAAATTATTTATTTTGACTTTTATTTTTTTTATAATTATATTATTGGTAAGAAGTATTTATTGATTTTGTTAATAACTAATTTTTATTAAGGTATTTCCTATCAATTATGTTTTCTTATTCATAAATTTTGGTTAAAGAAATCAAGTTCGATACTACTTGAACCAACTACTTGATGGTAAATAAATTTACCTACTAATCATTTAAATTTAAAAATTAATTTGGAGCTTGTATATATATTCATGTTTTTAACAATGTTGATTTTAATCATTGAACAATTATTTACATGGCAAATTAATGCTTTTAAGATTTTGGTTTATGATTTTGGTGCAAATTATATTTGTACTTCCAAAATTTAATTGATTACACTTTTAATTCTTTCTACTCCTCTAAGTTTCCTTAATTTATTACTGTTCCAGTTTGAAAAATGTACTAAGGTTAATCTAACTACTCGACTAAAGTTAGAACATTCAAAAGTGTATTTTGCCCTACTTTACTCTAGGGTTAGGATTTTTATACTTGACAATTATAAATTTATGGGTCTCGAAAACTTTGAGATTTCATAGAATCATTACTCACCTTCTGGTTATTGTATCTTTATGATATGTGATCTTGGTTATTAAAGATAATTGGTTATTAAATATAAAATTCTATTATTGGAGTAAAGGAATTGACCAATTATGACCTCTTCTAGGCTTGTTTGATTGGCAATGTATGAGATATAAAGGATCAAATTGATACTGACTAACCTTTCGTTCCTAGTCTAATCAATCAAATTAGGTAAAAAGGTTAGACTGATTTCGACCTCTTATGGTATGGGTTCAATTGAAATATATTTGGAAGGTGGGTCAATGTCAAAAAATGCCAAGGAAGGTACACTTTCCTATCAGCCCCAAACTTGAAAGCCATAGGGATTAGGTCGGGGCACTCTCCATGTAGACCATGTCAAAGTGACCCTCTCAGAATATATCTAGGAAGGTACAATTATAGTTCCTTTAATCAACATCGACGCTCCTTACTGGCTTGATTTTTGTGGATTTAATAATTGATGAAGATTTGTGGAAGGTCAAACAGATCAATATAATTTGTTCTTTGTTAAACATTATTCAAATTAATTAAGAGAAAGTTTGGATATAGTCTAATTGGATTTTTGAGAACTTTTTTACTAAAAATGAACAATATTCATAAGTAGATAAATTTTTAAGTCCTTCTAAACTTGTGCCTAAACATGCTCTAATTATATTATGTAATTGCTAAAATAGCTTGTTGAAGCCTGGATGGATATTTCGAGAAGCCCTTTTAAAAAGAAGTTGATTCACTTTAGTATTGAGCAATGTCATTAGTCATATCAATAGTAGTTCTTTTCTAGTTTATACCTTTGTCCAAAACCATCCTAGGGATCAGAGACAGGTATATAATGTTCAAGAAAATTATACAAGTAACCAGGGATAAATCTATTTGATATGGTGTGGGGGTCAATTGTCCCAACTAACTTTTTAATTTCTTTTTTTATAATATATAAAATATTATATTGGACCCACTTAAAAACTAAAATAGAAAAGAAGTTACAAGAAAAACTAAAAAAGTTACAAGAAAGAGTAAATCTTGGAAACTTGTTAAGGTATCTCTGCATGAGAAGGAAGATTTTTTTTAAAAGAAATAAATATTTTAATATGTTATAAAAGTTATGCATGTAATAGTAACTTACCTATTTTAGAATAAAAAGGAAAACACTTTAAAGTTGTTGTGTATTTAAATCTTAAATATATAAAAAATCATAAATTAGTAATATATGTGTTTTGAGTAAATCAAGAAAACAATTTGGAAGTTGTTATTAACTTCTTTTTGGATACTTTATACCTTTTTTTTATAATATTTTTTTTCATGTGTTAAAGTTCCATTCTACTTCTAACATATTTTTAAAAAGTACAAAATAATGAAATTGGAAAAAAATTACTTCTTCTTTTCCATCTTTATTCTTTCACGATTCAATAGTTTAACTATATATTTAAAGTGATCTTTGAGGTTTGTATCTTTAAAGTTATTATTTTTATATAATTTATTTAAATTATTTTTAATTTTCAATAGAAAGTTAAGTATTTTAATTTTTATTTACTCATTATATTTTCATATTTAGAAGAAATATTGTATGTGATGAATATTATATTAATTAAAATTATATAGCAATGAAAAGGTATTCTAAAAGAAAATCATCTTTAGAACAATCATCTTTTCCTCAAATACATGTTGAAAAAGAAGTCAAATTGGGTCCATTTATCAAAACAAGATTTTTAGAATGTGATTTAGAAAACCTTCCTAATGATCATTGTCTAAGGCCAAAAATTTCGGATTATCATTTGAGTGATAGTGATAAAGTAAAAAGATATTATTTGCAAAAGGTTCCTTGTCAACTAAAAGAAATAAAATTTTCACAAAGACAATTTGGTATTTAAAATATGGAACTTGATTAGAATATAGTCAAAAGGAGGATGTAACATATTTTTTATATTGTTATCTTATGAGATCACATATTGGAGAACATAAAGGTAGTGGTGATGTATTCATAACAAAATATTTTATAAATTAGAAAAAAGTGACAAGTTTCAAGTTCATGTTAGAGTTCCAAATAGTTTTCATAATCAAGCATGGAGAAATTGTCATTTCTAATATTTCTAATGTTGTTGGAACATCATGTAAGCATCAAGATATTCTTTAAGAAAATTACATTCAAAGATGAAAGAAACATTGAAAAAAAGAAAGATCTCTAATGGATATGACTTGAATCAAGAAACTACAATCAAGAAGGCGAGAGATACTACTTGGAGCTCACATTATGGTACATTACTGAGTCTAGTTTCCTTGTTCTCTTCTATGATTGATGTGCTTGAAATAATTAAGGAAGATGACATAGTTTAGAGCAAAAAGGTGAAGCATATGTGCTGCAAAACTTTTGAATTTGTTTTAACCTTGTACTTGATGGAAAATATTTTAGGGATTACTCAAGGGCTATCTCAAGCATTGCAAAGAAGTGATCAAGATATTGTAAATGCTATAAAATTAGTTTCAGTGTTCGAACAAAGATTACAAGCAATGATAAATACTGGTTGGTCTTCTTTGCTCAATAATGTTTTATCATTTTGTGAAAAGCATAACATTGTGGTTCTAAATATGAATGAAACTTTTCAAACACAAGGAAGGTCAAGATGCAAAGTAGATAAAGTTTCTAATCTACATCTTTTTCAAGTTGAGTTATTTTTTCGAGTGATTGATCAACAATTCCAAGAGTTAAACAACTATTTCATGGAAGTAAATACTATTTTTTTTTGTGTGTAACATGCTTAAATCTAAGAGATTGATTTTCTACACTTGACAAAGAGAAGTTGATTCGTTTTGCTTAATTTTATTTTTCTAAATTTTCTCCCATTGAACTTTTGGCACTAGATAACTAACTTGAAAATTATTTCACAGATGTATGTTTTGACAATGTTTTTTCAAAATTAGAAAAGATTAATGATCTTTCTATGAAACTTGTGTAGACTAGAAAACATGTTGTATATTCGTTAGTGTATTTACTTTTAGAGCTAGCCTTGATAGTATCAATGCGAACTGCATCAGTTGAAAGAACTTTTTTTGCTATAAATATCATCAAGAATCAGATCAAAATTGTATGGGAGATGAATGGTTAAATAATTTTTTAATTACTTATATATATATATATATAGAGAGAGATTTTTTTTTTGATAATATTGAAAATGAGCAAACCATCCAACATTTTCAAAATATAAAAAAATTCCTGACAAACAATTATAATATATATTTATTTTTATAAAAAATTTATTTTATATTTCAAACTTTACAAATTTATGTATATAAATACTACTTTTAATATTAAAATTTTTTGGATCCATCATTACAAATAACCCATAAAAAGAAGGTAAAAGTATTTTAATCTATCTAGAAGAGCGAAATTTAGTATATTACTTTAAAATTTAAAACAATGTGTGATAAATGATTTAACCATGATCACCTACTTTGAGAAGCTCCAAGGATACTCATCCACACGTTCATGTCCCCTCATTCATGAAGTAGAGAAACAGGTAGCTTGCTCACCCACTGTAAACTCCATATACAATTTAAGGGGACAATAAGATTTTGTTTCTCCGTGGATTGCATATTTGTTGACATGATTAGGCATGCGAGGGGCCACTATTAGTTTCATGCTATCATTGCTCATAAATCATGCATGCCACAAAAAATGGATGATTCTAAATAGAGAAAGGTCTTTCGGTTTTCTATGTACTAAGACTAGGACTTGGGACTACATATTGTGTGTCTGGCAAATTCTAGTTCAAGTGAATTATCTATCCATGTAGTAACAAATTACGACCACGAAATATATATCTATGAT